AAGGCGCATTCCCCTTTAAGAATTAGCTACTGGCTAGAAAGGAAAGTTAAGGAGCGCAGTGGGCACTTAAGGAAGAAAAATAAATGTAGTAAGTATGGCTGCTGGCTAAGGAAGCCTCCCCAAATGGCTCCATTCATAAGTAAAGGAATGCTACAGGCAAAATCCATTCAGGAGAAAAATACTTCAAAATCCCTTGCAGCAAAACTTACAGCTAACAATAGCAGAGCAATAGAAGCTAACAAGAGACATCAACCATCAGCCAAATAGAAATTGCCAAACACTCCTTAAGACCACAAAGCCCACATTGCACAAATCCCAGAACTTCAAAGTCACAAAAGCACATAAGAATCCTTCCACTCTCCATCTCCCTCCGTGATTCACCTCCAGACGGTGCTGCCTTTCTTCATTGCTGCCTTTCTTCATTGCTGCCTTTCTTCATTCCTCATTGAGGGCAAACCCTCCTCCCTACGTTCCTTGCCTCTTGGTGTCTGCCAGCACATGTGGCTGCCAAAGAAGTTGTAGATCCACTTGTGGCCGGCCTGCTTGATTTCCTCTCCTCTCCCCCCACCCTCCTCCTCCTTTCCATTCCGTGAAGCTAGAGCTGACTCCTCCTCCTCCCAAGGCTGCTTCTTTTTCTCTCTCTTCTTCTCCCGGCCCAAACTGCCTCCTTTTATAGCCTCTCCTGTCTCCTCCTTTCTCATGGGGGAGGAAATTCCTTCTGTCCTGGGGCGTTTCCAGTATTTATTCCTGTTGGACTTGTGCAATTTGATGATGGAAACTGATCCCAACCAGGAACGATTTATGTTTTTCCATCTTTCAGGATCCCATTTAATTTCTTGCTGCAATTTGCTTTGGAAATGACTTAAAACAAATAATATTTTCAGGACTGAAAAGGGCTCTTGGCCTGAATTAACCAACTTGGTCTCCTGTTCTGGCCCCTCCTGTGTCTCCCCCATGTCCCTCCTCCCATCCAGCCAAGCCCACCGTCTCCATCTCCCCCACCAAGCTGGACCCCGCTTCCCCCAACACCATCCTCTTCTGCATCGCGAGGGGATTCTACCCCGTGGAGATCGAGGTCCGGTGGCTGAAGAACGGGCGGCCGGAAGAGGGCGTGGCCTTCGGGGAGGAGCTCCAGAATGGAGACTGGACCTACCAGCTCCAGGTGATGCTGGAGACCCAGCCCCAGCGGGGGGACGTCTACACCTGCCAGGTGGAGCACGCCAGCCTGGAGGCCCCCATCACCGTCCAATGG